ATCTTTCCCACACCCTCTCTCTCAATTACTGTACTCCTTGCAACCTAGGTATCATCTTTAACTCCTCACTGTCTCTCATATCCAGTCTGTTGTCAAGGCTTGTCAATTTCACCTTTGCAACATCTCTCACATTCACCATCTTCTCTCCTCTGACACTGACACCACTGTGGTGCAGCTCTAATCACCTAATGCCTAGGCTACTGCAATATCCTGATACTAAGTGGCCCTGCCTCAAGTCTCTCACCTCACCCTAATCCACCATCCATTCTGACACCAAGGTGACTTTCCTAAAGCATAGGTCTAGCCATACTACACACACACACACACACACACACACACACACACACACACACACACACACACACACACACACACACACACCCCTCTCCCCCCACCCCAACTCAGTAAGCTCAAGCGGCTCCTTATTGCTTCCAGGATCAAATACAGAATCCTCTATTTGGCATTCAAAACCCTTCAAACCCAGCATCCCTCAATTTTCACTAAATATTGTTTGATCTACTGACACTGGCTTCTTTGTTCTTCCACAAACAAGGCACTCCATCCCTCTGCTCTAGGCATTTTCTCTGGCTGTCCCTCATGCCTGGAATGTTCTCCCTCCTTGTCTCTGCCTACTGACTCCTTGGTTTTCTTTAAATCCCAATTAAAATCCCATTTTCTATTGGAAGCCTTTTCCCACCATTCTTAATTTTAGTGCCTTCCCTCTTTTAAATGTGTGTGTGTGTATGTGTGTGTGTGTGTGGAGAGAGAGAGAGAGAGAGAGAGAGAGAGAGAGAGAGAGAGAGGAAGTGCTGGTTTGTACCTATTTGTTTTCTTGTTATCTCCTCAATTAAATTATGAGCTCCTTGAGGGCAGGGACTATCTTTGGCCTCTTTTCGTATCCCCACCAGTTAGCACACTGCCTACCACGTAGTAGGCACTTAATAAATGTTTACTGACTGAGTCACTGACAGAAATAGTGAAGTGAGATGAAGCAGCAGTTTAGGGGAATGTTAAATATGGTTTACACATATTGAATCTGAAGTGCTGGGGAAATATACAGGTGGAAATGTCCTGGAGGCTGCTGGAGATAAGGCTTTGGAATATGGGAAACATTTTCCATTTAAAACTGAAGTGTGAGAAAAACATTTGTATTTGTGTTCTGGGATTCTCTGGTAACAGTTATGATACACATGGGCATTTGACTTATTTTTGCTTGTCGGTCCTCAGATAGAGTGTTCTAACATTACTAAGTATTGCATTATTTAGACTCCATAGAATGAATACAACTCTGCTATATGCATTTTAGATGGAAAACAGCTTACTTTGTGTTTGGCTCATATTTATTTGTTCAATTAACATGTTATTATTTAATTTATATCTTTAGTATCATATATATTTACCATTATGCTTACTTCTCTTCCTTTCAGAGAGAGAGCCATGCCTTAAAACAAATTATACAAAGGCAAAAAATTTCACAAAACTAACCAAGATATCCACAAGTCTAACATGATTTGCATTGTTTCACATTAAGAGTCCCCACTTCTGCAAAGAAAGGAAGGGGAGGAATTCTTATATCTCATGGTTGACTTTCAGTTTTTATTTTTTCATTATTATTTTTCCATTTGCATTTTTGTAGTTGGTTATATCAGTTTCCTAGATTTTCTTCCTTCATGTTGTACCAGCTCATATAATTTTAGTTTTTACCATTTTTTCACTTTCTTATCATACAATAATATTCCATCAAATTCATGTACTACAATTTATTTTACAATAACATTTCCATACAGGCTTTTGAATGTCTCTCTTTACCTTTTTAGTATGGCAACAGAAAGAAAACCACTCCTATGTTTGGCATTATTAAGGGCCTTGTATAATAATTGGAATGACTTCTGGGTTCAGAATATGAACCATAATGTATTGTGGAGACAACTACATTGCTGTCAAGGAAAAAAAAATAACTAGTGAGGAAAGGAAATATTTATGGGGATATACACACATATGGATGTGTATATCTTTGTAAAAGTTCTTAAGCAGAAAAATACTTAACTAATTGAATATGTTTTATCTTTCTTAATGACCCTATGAATTGACCTGAACTTTCTATTTCAAGTATGGACCTTGAGGATTTTATGTCCCGCTCAACTCCATAGAGGGTAGCATATAAAAACTGACTTATTGAAAACTCTTCTTACTCTCATGCACTCCTTGTATTTTCTTCTACATTTTATAAGATTTTTGAGAGATTTTTATTAATAAAAAATGAATAACTCCCAAACGCATATTCTCTGTCATCATTCATAGAAAACAGCATAGATTATTTAAAAAAATAGGTAATCTTTCTCTGGATGATTTTCCTCCATTGAGAGGAATTCTGCTTGAACAGTTAAAGGTAATGGTAATGTGTAGACCGGCCCATGATCTCATATCTGGATATAAACTCCTCTTTTTGGCATTTAAAACTCTTAACACACTGCTCTATTCCATGCATTCTGTGATCCAGCCACACTCTCCTTCCTACCTGCCATTCCCCAGACATAATGCTTCATTACATAGTAGACAGAGAATCCATGTCTTTGTGCTTCCTGTCCCCTATCCCTGAAATGCTCTCTCTCCTGACCTCAGCTTCTTAGCATCTCTCTCTTACTCTAAGACTTAGCACAGAAGGCATTCCCCATCAAATTTTCTATTCAACTCTGGTCTTTTCATCAAGAATGCTTGAAAGTCTTCTATATCACTGAACGTCCATTTTTCCTCCAAAGGATTATACCCAGTTTTGCTAGGCAGGTGATTCTTGGTTTTAATCCTAGTTCCTTTGACTTCTGAAATATCATATTCTGATCCCTTAATGTAGAAGCTGTTAAATCTTGAGTTATCTTGATTGTGTTTTCACAATACCTTTTCTTTCTGGCTGCTTGCAATATTTTCTCCTTGACCTGGGAATTCTGGAATTTGGCTGCATATTCCTAGGAGTTTTCCTTTGGGGATCATCTCTTTCAGGAGGTGATTGGTGGATTCTTTCAATTTCTGTTTTGCCTTCTCGTTCTAGAATATTGAGACAGTTTTCCTTGATAATTTCTTGAAAGATGATTTCTAGGTTCTTTTTTTACTCCTTCAGATAGTCCGATGAAGCATTTGTATTATTTCCAGTGGAAGGAAAGGGGAGGTTTTATACCAGATAAATAGATTTTTTTTAAATTCTGTTCTAACATTACTATTGATATATTACATTTGTAATCCACTCAATAGATCATGCACATGCTATGAGATCCATTTGAGAGTTTATAAAGTTTTAATGGTGTGTCACACAAGAAGTTCTTGAATCAATATATGATTGTTATATAAACAATGATCCTTTTGAAAGTCTGTTTCACTTCCTGATTTTTTTGATTCACATATTTTTCTAATTTCATAGCTTTTAAGTTTTTTTGTTAATTTAGTGTATATGAAGTAATCAACTCAACTAAATATATTAAGTCTATGTCTAACAATTTAATTTTTTGAATTAATAAAAATCTATTTTCTCTACCTATTACCTACCCCACCCCACTATGGGGTAGGAGGGAACAAAAACAAAACTCTTGTGACAAATATGCATAGCAAAGGAAAACAGATTTCATGTCCACATAATGTTGGCCACAGCAATGGCTATGGCTATGTCTAGAGATAGAGATAGAGATAGATAGATAGAGATAGATAGATAGATAGATAGATATAGATAGATAGATAGATAGACAGACAGACAGGTAGATAGATAGATAGATAGATAGATAGATAGATAGATAGATAGATAGATAGATAGATAGATAGACAGACAGACAGACAGGTAGATAGATAGATAGATAGATAGATAGATAGATAGATAGATAGATAGATAGATAGATAGATAGATAGATAGATAACCTCATTCTTTACTCTGAGACCATCATCTATCTATCTGTGAACAGGTAGGTAACCTCTTTCAACAGTAGTCCACTAGAATCATAACTAATTATTAAATTGATTGATTAACTGAGAAATCTTAAGTATTTCAGAATTTTAAAAAATAGTATATTGTTATGGCATAAATTATTCTGCTTTTGCTCACTTCCTTCTGTATCAGTTTATAAAAATCTCAGGTTTCTCTGAAACTGTGCTATATCTTTGGAGTATTATTACTCTTGTTCTCTCTCTTTAGTGTGTGTGTGTGTGTGTGTGTGTGGCTGTGGCTGTGGCTGTGTCTGAGGTTGTCAGTATTATTCCCATTTCACAGATAAGGAAACAAACTTACAGAAGCTATAATGTGACCACCTAGTAAGATGAAGAGCCAGGACAAGAAGGCAGATCTCTTGACTTCAAGTTCAAAACCCTTTCTACTTCACCCTGTTACTAAAGAAAGGAGGGAACTATTTCAGCAGCATGCAACACATGATGGTATAAGAAACAAAGCATGGAGTAAGGATGCAATAAAAACAGGCTAAGTCAACTAAAGTGAAGGGATTAGTAGGAGGTGAAAAGATCAAAGTGAGGAATAGAAGGAAGGTCTGATAGTTAAAGGAACCCAGAAACTTCACCAGGGTCACCAGATCTTGTGTAGCTTGGTCTAACTCTTGCTAAGCAGAAGCAGTTAAGAAGGTTGTGGAAAACCAGGTAAATATGACCAAAGCCTTTTTAATACAAGAAACCTCCTGATGTGTAACTTGTCACCACTGACAGAAAACAGAAACTTGTCTATATAGATAGGTGCTAACGGAACACAAGGCAGATGAGTTGCCTGTGGTGATAGTCAGAGTTTTTCAGGTCCAAGACTTGAACCAGGTCCTTACTCTAAAGCCAGCCTTCTAGTCTCTGAGTCATACTGCCTCTCTGACTGGTGCATTATGACCTTGGAAATAATGTAGCAAGAGCAGCATCCAGATTTCTTTTTTTTTTTTTACTTTTGTTTCTTGTGCAATCAGTGAAACATTTTTTAGCAAGCTATAATTATACATAAATCTTGAAGTTTTCCTTAATCTTTCAATTAGGTACTCAATAGATAGAAACACAGATTTGGAGAGATATTTCAACATTGATGCCAACAGTGGAGTCATTACAACTGCCAAGTCTTTGGACCGGGAGACAAATGCTGTTCATAACATCACAGTACTGGCAATGGAAAGTCGTAAGTGAAAAACTAAAGTTTTGGGAGCTTAGGGGATATGTGTGTGTAGATATGCATTTTGTAAGATTAAGAATTTAATATTAATTATAATAATTTCTCATTTTCATTAAAAATTGAAAATGCTCCAACATTCTTTAATAATTCCTGTTTTTTTGTTTTTATGCACAAATTATGTTTTTATGTACAAATATTTAAAAAAATAATATATAAAATATGACTGCTGATATTATTAATTTTTGTGTGTGGCTTATGGAGTTATTTTCATTTTGTAACACCTAGGCTGCAAATACAAAAAAAGGCAAAAGACAGTCCCTCCCCTCAAGGAGCTTATACTCTAATCCAGAAGAGAACATACAAACAAGCTATATACAGGATAATTAGGAAATAATTAAGTAAAGGGAAGGCTTCCTGTAAAAGCTATGGCTGTATTATAGACAAGTTGTTGCACTTCTTTGTTGGAGGGAGTTTCCTGACTTCACTGATGAAATCATGGGTCTAAAATCACACACACATTCTTAAATATCTCTCAATATGTATATGGCAGTTTTATAAAAAAGATTAGTTGATTGAATTAGAGGCAACAACACATCATGCACAAGTATGCATTGAGTGTCCGGCACTGTTCTTGGTGCTAGAAGCAGCTCTCCATTCTCTGAGACACCTCTAATATTATTCTCTGATCTGAAACTACTAAAAATAAGTGGATTAGTAGAAAGCAGATTTCCATCAAGGCTCTCAGAATTTGTGTGTGTGTATGAAGTATTTTGTGTATATAAAATAGCTTTTAAATATTACTTTAAAATAGCATTAAATTTTGAGTCACATTACTTAAAACATTTAAAAATTTCAGTTTTTTTTTTTTTTTAAGAAAAATGCTTTGTGGAAAGTCTTTGCAGCACTCCAAGGAAGGACGTTTGTTTCAGCATAAATAACTTGCATAGTTACAAATAAAACACTTTTGCATGGTAAATGGAAAGGAACAAGTTTTATTTGGATATAATCAGGATCTTATTGTCTAAATGATATAGCAAGTTTTACTCTCAAAGTTTTAAAAGTCTGTTGAAGGATAGAACCTAGAAAACATGAAGAGTTTCCTTTTCAATCCACATTCTCAAATCACAGCAATACATCATTCCAGGAAAACTAATGAACTATATTAAGGAAGTTTTCTTTCTGATGAGTCTGAAATATTAGAATTATGCTGCCATATTCTTCTCAGTTGTTATTGGCCAAGTCACCAGGAAGGAATGAAGGAAGTAAGAGAGGGAGGGATGAAGGGAGAGAAGCAGGAAGGGTGGGAAGGAGAAAAGGTGGAAGGAGGATAGACAACTTATTCAGTGCTTACTATGTGCCAGCCATTGTAGCAAGTGCTGGAAATGCAAATAAAAGCAAAAACAAAAAGTCCCTGTCTTCAAGAAGCTTATATTCTAATTGTAGAAGACAGCACATAAAAGGGGCTGAAAAAATGAGGTAGTGCATAGGGGTGGGGCACAAGGAAGGAGGGATGAAGTACCTGGTATGGGGCCATGCTTTTGAAATACAGAAAGTCAGGACTGGAATGGGTTGGGGAGGAAATGAAAGCAGGCCTCTCTAGGCTGCTCCACAAAATAGAAACCCCTGGAGTAACTTACCAATGGTAGAAGGGGCAGGCCTGGCAGAGAGATTCTAGGGAAAGGGGGAGTGCCATAGGGGTGGTTAGCTATTCTACTAGGGTAAGGAAACCACAAGTGCTTAGGGAAATTCCAGGATAAGATGGCAGCTGATGCATGATTTTGACGTCCAGAAAGTCAAGACCAGAGCAGCACAGTCTCAAATTAAATATTTCTAAAATAGGAACATTTCATCAAATTATCTGACTTCTTAGGATAATATCAAAGATACAGAACTGGAAGAGACCTCAGAGAACATCAAAATGAATCCCCTTATTTTAAAAAGGAAGAAATAGAAGATAAAACAAAAGTTAATGACTTACCTATGGTCACATACCTAGTAAGTTTCAAAAGTGGGATCTGAACTGGCCTTCCTAACTCTGTGTCTGGTGTCTTACCCAGTACTTCTCCGAGGTCACTTTAAGCTCTAACATGGATTGGAATCTAATTCTACGTTCTATTTTGGCCCCTTTTTATTATTAATAAAGTTACATCATGGACATGAGATGAAAGTGTTATTATTAGGATATCACTACTTTTATTTATTTATTTTTTAATCTATGTGTTTCAAAGCAAAAGGGTAATAGAAACATTTAGCAGATGAGTATTTTACAGGAAGCTTTTCTCTTTGATCTAGAGAATCCATCTCAAATAGGAAGAGGCTATGTGGCCATCACTATATTGGACATCAATGACAATGCCCCTGAATTTGCCATGGATTATGAGACCACTGTCTGTGAAAATGCCCAACCTGGTCAGGTAGGAATTATTGTGAACACATCCCTAAATGGATTCATTTCTCTTAAAATTATGCTGTTGTTCTTTTGGAATCCCTGACACTTTTAAAATAAACTGTAACTCCTTATTTTATCAATCTAACTAACACTTTTAGGTGGAACATAAACCAACATGAAAATAACCTTCAAATCCTGGTCCATTTTAGATGGTGAAAATTCCTCAGGAAGAAACATCTAAAATTAAAAATGCCTTGGTAAATGGTTAGATGTGTCAGATTTCCTTACAAAAAGGTTCTATCCCCTGCTGTACCTGGTAGATTTTAAGTATATTGTCCTTCAAATAAGTGTCAGATACAATGGATGTCAGTTTGAATTGCATGTCTGTATCATGCTAGATGTCTGTGGTCCGTATAATAAAAGTTTACCAGTATTAATTGTATCTGGTGCTTAAAAAATAATAATAAATTCATGGATAAATTTGAAAATGAACTTACTTCATAATTTTAATATATGGCCCTCCTTTATCCCCACAATTCACTCAGTAAAATTTTAGCTACTGGAAGCTTGAAATTCAGTGGTTCTCTCTTTTTTTTTCTTTCTGCACAATATTCTTTACTGAGAGGAATCATTGCACACTGAAGATTCATATTTGCAACAAAAAAGGATTCCTTAGCAGTCGGCCTCAATACCCTGTTACCCAGCCCAAAGATTCCCCTTCCTTTCCTTATCCTCCCACACCCCCCCTCACCAGTTTCTTTCTGTACTTAACCCAGAACTCTCAGCAGAAAAAGTACAATGATGCTTTTAATGGAATCTTCTTATAAAGCCTGGAACAAAAAGCAGCAATATGTAGATGGGGACAGGGGCTATGAAATGGCGAAGTCTAGGGATGTGAAGAGGAATCTAACATTACACTTGGAAAAAGTCAGGAAACACTAGTATGCTAGATCATACCGTTGTAGAACTATTGATGTCATTATAAAATCTTGTTTGATACTTCATTTGCATATTTGCCAATTAATAGTATACCTATTCTTTTCATGCTTCCCAATATTTCTTTCTAGATTATCCAGAAAATCAGTGCAGTTGATAAAGATGAGCCATCCAATGGTCACCAGTTTTACTTCAGCTTAACAGCTGATGCAGCAAATAATCACAATTTTTCCTTAAAGGACAACAAAGGTAAGACTGAGTGACAGTTATCACTGAACTCAGCAGGTGGGTATTTACTGAATAGCCCCTTGTTGTTTAGCTCAGTAATGCTGATTATGAGCTACATAGATTTTTTTTTTTTGCCACAGTGACATTAATTAAAGGGCAATGAGCCCCTCAAGTAATTTTTATCTATGGATTAGCTGTCATGAAGAAGAAGCTGTTGTTTAAATCATTTTAAGCCTCAAGCGAGAGTGGGAGGTCAAAATCATTCTCTTTTTTTTTTCCTTCAAGTGACTTGCTTCACTTTTTGCACATCAAGCTCTTTATCCAAATTAGCTTTAAAAAAAGGGTAACAGTTGACTGCCTTCCTAAGGCTTTATGCTTTGTTCTGTATCATTTTGTTTTGTTTTTATTTTAAGTCCAACTACAAATTTAAAACATAAACAGAGATTATGGTATTCCATTTCAATCATGATATCATTTATTTAAAAGAGGTTTTAGAGGAAACATGTCCACATGCTTTTAATAGGCTGTATTCTCACATTAATTCATATTCAGTGTATTTATTTCTTGGCAGAAGTAAGGGATTTGCAACTAATAGAAGGGATAATTTGAACTGTAATGAATGTTCTCACCCAGCATTAGATTCCAGACCTTCAATATGCCTTTGGTTTAGATTTTATATGGGAATCAGTTTTCTGGGAGGAGGGGGGGGTACCCTATAGAAATATATTTTGTTGAGTTGTCTCAGGAAAGTAACCTTGTTGAGTACCTCTAATGTCTACCACTACCCAAGTGTGCTACCTAGACCATATACATTCTTCTATGCAGCTTTACCTTTCGTACAGACTACATTTTGCTCTTTTATCAGAAAAGAGGGAAGATGATGTTCTCTGAGGCCTCTCTTCTGGCATGATATTGGCAATAAGAAATTCCCTGTCTAGCTGATGTCTAAGCACCTTTGTAGCTGTGAGAAAGGAAAGCCATTGGCATACAGATGTCTTGTCACCAGGCGGCACTGTTTTCCAGGTTGCTGTGGGGTAGAGGGCAGAGCATTCATAAATCCATGGTAGGCGTTTATGCATAGTTTTCTTGGGACTTTGATCCTGCTTCTGCTGGAAATTATCTTTTCAAAGGAAATAAGGATAATAAGTAGGAAGAGAATCTTTCTTCTTGACCCATACAATCCTTTGAGTTCTCAGATAATTTTGACTCCTGTTCCCAGGAAATGATAGGCATGATTAGATGAAGGATTCATATGGTTCATTGTAAAGACCATAGATCCATAGTACAAGCACTAACTTTGAGTCCTGGCTTTGAGGTTATTGTTTCTTTGTATATTATCTAACTCATTTGAGTTATTGTCAGGATCAAATGAGATGAAATATGCAAAATATTTTATAAATGTACACTATAATTTTCTACAAAATGAAGAGGTTGATTAAAAATTTAAGTCACTTTCCAGCTATATATATTTTATGGCCAATACTTCAGCCAACAAGAACCCTCATCATGTATTATACCTCTCATGTCTACCTGGTTTTTTTTTTTTGTTTGTTTTACTGCTGTGTAGATTTCAAACCCATACTTGAATAGTACCATATGCATATGAGGACACTTTACTGTCATTTGACATTCTTTTGATAGTAGACATGTATTCACATATTTGTGATTTATACAAATATTAATGCACATGAACAATTGTTAAAATGCAAGTACTAATTTTTAAATGTAAATGGTAGCCTTTAAAGGTTTCATATGTATTCTTTCTATAACTTCCTTAGAAAATTGTATGTATGTGTATCCATACACACATAGATATATGTATGTGTGTGTATATACACATATATATGTATGTATACATACATACACACACACACACACACATAGAGAGAGATGGAGAGAGCTAGGCAGATGGGATCTGAAAATCAAGCTGTGTTCTTCCTGCCTCATATAATCATAGGTAATAAATGTTCTGCAATCACAAGTGAGCTTATCATTTTGTTGATGATGTTTGAAACAGAATGCAATCCAGCTTGCTCTTTCATTATGTCATTATTGGCACTGAATCACTAACAGTATAGATTGGGAGAAATAAAAACAAACAAACAAACCAAAAAAACCCTTTGCTAGTAAAATAAGCCAGTGTACCTTAAAATGTAGTCAGTAAAATTGACTACATTCATGCTTATTCCCACCTGTGCATTTTTTAACTGAAATAAAGTTAGAGTTTATCATGATTTCTTAGCTAATCAGTCCTCTAGCTTGTTAGTTAACACATATTCAGATAATCTTGAGAATTCTATCACAGTATAGATGACCAACATTCATATGTTAAAATTATAATTATATAATGCTAATCCTTTTAATACAACATCATTATTGCTTTAGTACAAATTCTCAATTGGGTTAGGCAGGACAAGAGTTTAGTGGACAAGAGTTCATTGCCTGAAGGAAGAAGTCAAGAATTTGGAGCCAGGAAGTGGCATGGGCGGTAAATTTTACAAAGCCTAAAAGTAAAACATTCAGAAAATTGACCTATGGCAGTGGGAGTGTGAGCAAGTAATGTGAACTAAGTCGGCTTCGTGCTGTAGTAAAGTCTAGGTTTAGAGTCAAAGGACCTCAGTTCAAATTCTAGTTCTATAATTTACTACCTGTGTGATTATGACACTAGAGGCAGCTATGTGGCACAGTGGATAGAGTGCTGGTCCTCGGGTCAGGAAGACCTGAATTCAAATCCAGCCTCAGACACTCATTAGCTGGGTGACCCTGGGCAGGCCTTTTAACTTTTTTTGCCTCAGTTTCTTCAGCTGTTAAATAAGAATAATAGTAGCACCAACCTTCCAGGGTTGTTGGGAAGATCAAATGACATAATATTTGTAAAGCACTAACCACAATACCTGACACTTAATAGGTGCTTGTTTCTTTCCTTTCTGCCTATGGGCACTTAAACTTAATTTAAGCCTTAATTCTTCACATTTAAATTGACTGGATTGATATAGAGGATCTGTAAATTTCCTTCCAGTTCTAAATCTATGAACCTATTCTGCATTCAATACTCATTTTCAAAGGCACCAATAAAGTGAGGCTAGCCAAATCCAGGCTGGGGTGAGCAGTGCTTCTTGCTATTACCTAAGGAAAAAAAAACTCAGTCATATGTGAGACTCAGCAAAAATGAAATGAAAAGTGAGTTATTCTTTCTCTTATTTTGTACATTGCACCACTGCCCTGGCTGTTCTTTCTATGGCCCTTTTCTCAAACATTTGGTGAACATTATCATGTATACTTGAATCCTTGTCCAATGCCTTGTCAGATCTCATCTTCCTCTTTTGTTCCTATTCACATGCCACTTAACCGAGCTAGAGGAAATCACTGCATAGTGCTTACTAGATTTAGGACAAATTTATGTAATCTGAATTCAACTGAAGGGCAGAAAGGTGGCATAGTGGATAGAGTGCCAGCCTGGAGTCAGGAAGATGAGTCTTCCTGAGCTCAGACCATTTAGCTACCCCTTGGTGAGATCCTCATCAGCTTCATATTTTACCAGAAGATTGATTTAACAGAAGCAATTTGCCATCATCAGTTCCATGACTTCAGTTATCATGTCTATGATGATGATTTCCCATCTATAAATTCAAATCTAGCCTCTCTACTAATCTCCAAGTTCCCATTACCAAATGTCTTTTGTACATCTCAAGTTAGACGTCCTATAAGTATCTCAAACTCAAAATTCCAAAACAGAATTTATCTTCCCTTCTCCCCACCTAAAATCCCCTGCATTCTTTTGAGCTTCTGTAATTTTCTTTAAAAAACATTTGTTAGTTTTTGCAAACATTTGTTATCTCATTCTCCCTCTTCTCCCCAGTGGAACAATTAAAAAAAAAAAAGAAAAAGGAAGAAAAAGAAAACTCTCAAAATAAATATGCATAGTCTATCTATCAAAATAAATTTCTACACTGGCAAAATATATGTTCAGTCTGAGTTTTATGTCCATTACTTCTCTAGCAAGAGGAAGGGTAGACAGGGCTGTCTTCAGTGCTCTTGACTCTTGGTTTATCACTTCACTGATCAGGGATCTAGTTTTTTTTTTAATTTTTTATTCAAGATTTTGAGTTCCAAATTTTCTACCCATCTCTTCCCTCCCCCCATGCCAACATGGCATGCATTCTGTTTACCCCTTCCTCTAATCTGCCTTCCTTTCTATCTCTCCCCATCTTCTCTTATCCCCTACCCCTTCTATTTTCCTGTAGGGCAGGATATATGTCAGTACCACATTTCCTGTATTTCTTATTTCCCAGTTGCATGTGAAAACCATTTTTTTAAACATGTGTTTTTAAAACTTTGGGTTACAAATTTTCTCCCTTCCTCCCTCCCCAGCCACCCTATTGAAAAGGCAAGCAACTCGATACAGGTTATAGATGTGTAGTCATATAAAACACTTCCATAGTAGTCATGTTGTGAAAAACTAAGTATGTTTCCCTTATCCTATCCTACCTCCCATTTATTCTATTCTCTCTTTTCACCCTGTCCCTCCTCAGAAGTGTTTCCTTCTGATTATCCCCTCCCCCAATCTGCCTTCCCCTCTATTATCCCCCTGCTCTCTTGTCCCCTTCCCCCCTTATTTTCCTGTAGGATAAGATAGATTTCCATACCTAATTGTGTATGTTATTCCCTCCTTAAGCCAAATCCTATGAGAATAAGATTCACTCATTCACTCTCACCTTTCCCATTTCCCCTCCACTATAACAGCCTTTTCTTGTCTGTTTCATGTGAAATAATTTACCCCATTCTGCCTCTCCCTTTCTCCTTCTCCCAGTATAATCCTCTCTCACCCCTTAACTTTATTTTCCAGATATCACCCTTCATCTTCAACTCACCTGTGCCCTATCTATCTATCTATCTATCTATCTGTCTGTCTATCTATACATATAATTTTTTCCCTTCCACTACCCTAATACTGACAAAGGACTCATGAGTTACAAATATCATCTTTCCATGTAGGAATGTAAACAGTTCAACCTTAATAAGTCTCTTATGATTTCTCTTTCCTGTTTACCTCTTCATGTTTCATTTGAGTCTTGTATTTGAAAGTCAAATTTTCTATTCAGCTCTGGTCTTTTCATCAAGAATGCTTGAAAGTCCTCTATTTCACTGAAATGACCATTTTTTCCCCTGAAGGATTATACTCAGTTTTGCTGGGTAGGTGATTCTTGGTTGTAATCCTATCTCCTTTGCCCTCCAGAATATTATATTCCATGCCCTCGGTCCTTAATGTAGAAGCTGCTAAATCTTGTGTTATCCTGATTGTGTTTCCACAATACTTGAATTTCTTTCTGGCTGCTTGCAATATTTTTCCTTGACCTGGGAATCTGGAATTTGGCTACAATATTCCTAGGAGTTTTCCTTTGGGGATCTCTTTCAGGAGGTGATTGGTGGATTCTTTCAATTTCTATTTTGCCCCCTGGTTCTAAAATATCAGGGCAGTTTTCCGTGATAATTTCTTGAAAGATGATGTCTAGGCTCTTTTTTTGATCATGGCTTTCAGATAGTCAAGAGATTTTTAAATTCTCTCTCCTGGATCTATTTTCCAGGTCAGTTGTTTTTCCAATGAGATATTTCACATTGTTTTCTAATTTTTCATTCTTTTGGATTTGTTTTACAGTGTCTTGATTTCTCATAAAGTCACTAGCTTCCAGTTGCTCCATTTTAAGAAAGTATTTTCTTCAGTAAGCTTTTGGACTTTCTTTTCCATTTTGCCAATTATGCTTTTTAGGGCATTGTTCTCCTCATTGGCTTTTTGGACCTCTTTTGCCATTTGGGTTAGGCTGTTTTTTAAGGTGTTATTTTCTTCAGTCTTTTTTGGGGTCTCCTTTACAAAGCTGTTGACTTGTTTTTCATTATTTTCTTGTATCACTCTCAATTTTTCCTCTACTTCTCTTACTTGCTTCCCAGAATCCTTTTTGAGCTCTTCCATGGCCTGGGACCAATTCATATTTTTCTTGGAGGCTTTGGATGTAGGAGCTTTCCCTTTGTTGTCTTCTTCTGGTTGTATGTTTTGATCTTCTTTGTCACCAAAGTAAGATAGTATAGTCTGACTTTTTTTGAGCTGCTTGCTCATGATCCCAGCCAATTACTTGAGTTACAAACTTTGTTAAGGTAGGGGTCTGTTTCCAGTGTGGAGAATGTACTGTCCCAAGCTTCAGGGGTTTTGTGCAGCTGTTTTCAGAGATACTTCTAGGGACCTGTAAATTTTCATTTCTTCCAAGGTGCTATGATCAAGGGCAAGGTGTTTACTCCTTTCCTGGCCTGTGTTCTGGTCTGTGAGTGACCACAAGCACTCTCTTCTGTCTTGGAACTGTGAGGAGGATTTTCTCTGTACCATCACCACAAGCTCCACTCCCCAGCGATCCTTCTCCCTCCAGGACCACCCCTCAGAACTGTGACCCAGATCCAATCAGGGGCAAAGCAAGAGACTCCTACACCAGCAGAGAAATTCCTGCAATCCCTCTCTGATCAGCCACTTGATTCCCCCCTCAGTCTGTGAGCAGGAAGCTCAGGAGGCAGCCGCCACTCTGGGGCTGAGCTTGGGGACTGTGGCTGGAACCCCACAGTGCCTCTCTCTCTAACCACAGACACAGACTTTTCCCACTAACCTTCTAAGTTGTCTTTGGTGTTCGTGGGTTGAGAAGTCAGGAAACTGCCACAGTTGCCCACAATTCAATCTTCTGAGGCCTGCTCCAGGTTTGCTGAGGCCTGGGCACCCACACCTAACTGTGTTCTCCCCCCAAGCCCAGCACGATATACCTTTCTGATCAACCCATCCAGGCTGTCTTGGGCTGGAAATTCACTTCACTTTGTCTTTTTGTGGATTCTGCTGCTTTAGAATTTGTTTAGAGCCATTTTTATAGGTATTTGGAGGGGTTTGGGGGAGAGCTCAAGCAAGTCACTGCTTTTAATCTGCCATCTTGGCTCCACCCCCCAGGGATCTAGTCTTGCAAAGCTATTTTTCTCTATAATCATCGTATACATTGTTGTAGTTCTGCTCATTTCACTCTTCATCTGTTCATAGAGGGCTTCCTGGTTTTCTCTGAAACTGTTCCTTTCATCATTTCTTATGACACAGTAATATTCCATTACATACATATGCCATACTTTGTTCGGTCATTCTCTAATTGTAGGATACTAAATGTCCCTATTATTTTCAAAGGCACTGAACTTCCATATTATAGTCAAGGTCACCATTATCCTCCTATTCATCCAGGTTCACCTTTTTGTCAGACTTGATTCTTCACAAATACCCTACCTATCCAATCTGCTACAAAATCTTATCATTTCTATCTTCACAAAAATCTCATGTATTCCTCCTTTTCTTTACTCACACAGTTACCATCCTACATCAGGTCCTCAACCAACTTTTGCCCAGACTATTGCAGTAGACTTGTAATTGATCTACTTGTCTCAGGTCTCTCCCCATTCCAGTGCTTCTCCACTCACCTACTAAAAAAGTGATCTTTCTCAAACACAGGCTTGGGCATGTTACTCTTTACTTAGTAATCATCAATAGCTTCCTATTATTTCAAAAATAAAGTTTTCTCTTTGGCTTTAAAGGTCTTCACAGACTTGCATCTTCCTATCTTTCCAGGATTTCTAAATTTTAATCCCCTCCAAGCCCTCTAAGATCAGCTACCATGGCTTACTTGGTTGCTCCTTAACACATGACATTCTACTTTCCTTCTCCAGACCTTTGTACTGGTTGTCCCCCAAGCCTGGAATGCTTTCCCTTGGCACCTCTACCTCTTAATTTCCCTAAATTCCTTGAAGTAACAATTCACATCCCACCTTCTTTAGAAGATTTCCTTGTGCCCACACCACTCCCCAGGTTTTAGCACCTTCCCTTCTGAGATTACCCCCTAGCTTCTCTACATATATCTTTTTTTGTATTTAGTTATTTACATTGTTTTCTCCATTAGAAAAAGAGTATTCGAGGTTCTTCAGGGCAGGAACTGCTTTTTGCCTTTGTTTGTATCCTCAGTAGTTAATATAGTGCCTGATGTATTGCTTGCTGACTCAGTGGCTGCCTAACATTTTCTAAATGTGGCAGTAATCACAAAATTCCTCTCTTACATGCTTATAAATTTGGAGGTATACTCAATTAAAAATAAATGAATAAAGTGTCATTATCCCATTTGTCTTATTCCAACATCTGGTTTAGCAGTGTGTAAAAGCTATTGATCATCATGGGTGAAAACTTTAGCATTTGATCAAGGAAAGGAAATACAGGTTTGATTGTATGAGACTTTTCTCTGGCATTTTAGGATATTACCTTCAATCCATCAAACATTTATTAGGTATTATTATACTGGGTACCATAGATACAAAGAAGGTAAAGAACATAGGCCCTATCCTAAAGAAGGAAACTGTAAATGCAGTGGGAAAGTTGGAGTAAATATGCTGTTAGTTCAAATATGATTAAGTATGTAGAAAAAGTAAAACCTTAGCATGAAAGATTTTTTTAGGAAAGAGAGATCACTTCTTAGAGTGAAGAAGTATTGATATCAAGGAAAGAATTGTAAAGGAAGTGGCATGAGGGGTAGATGATATCAGGGAAATAATTATAAAGGAAGTGGCAGCTAATCTGGATTTTGAAGGAAGAGGAGAATTCCAGGAGGCTAAGACTAGAGTGGGGTGAATGCTTTCCAGACGTGAGGAATATATTTAAGTATTTAGAATTAGGAGTTGGGGAAACAAGTAGTCCATTCTGTCTGGAGCCATTTGCTGTATGAAGAGGAATATTGTTTAGTTATGTGAGGAAGGTAGTTAGGAAACAGCCTGTAAGGGGCCTACAATTAATTCCAGGCTAAGTAGTTCACAGTGTTCTGTTTTGTTTTATTTTTGGGAGGCAGTGGGGAGCCACCAAAGATTTTTGAGCAGAGGAGTGATCATGATCATATGCAATAGGATATATTTGTTATTGTCTTCTCTAAGGTTCTCTAGCATGGTTAAACAAATATGTGAGAATATTAAGTTCCATTTAATATAATAGTATAGATACTTTTTATCTAATTTGTAGTACTACCTAATAATTTTTTCAGAACCAGAAATGAGTAAAATGGTTTGGATTTCTTCCACAGCAATCACTGTATTAAAGTCTGACTGATAAATGGAAGCACATCTCTCAAGCCTTAAAAAACAAACAAATTTGAAGGGGATATTAGATTACAAAAAACTTAAGAGACATCATCTCCATAGAAGGTGATCCAGTTAAGAAACAGAACACAACAATACACAGTTAACCAGGAGTCTCAAGGAAAGTATTTCACCAAAGTTCATGCCTTATACCTGTCTCTTTCTTAATCCTAGATAACACTGCTTCAGTACTCACCAGGAGAAATGGATTCCGGAGACAAGAACAGTCTGTTTACTATCTGCCAATTTTTATCGTGGACAGTGGTTCTCCTTCCCTTAGCAGTACCAACACTCTCACCATCCGAGTATGTGACTGTGATGCGGATGGCATAGCTCAAACGTGTAATGCAGAGGCATACATTTTACCTGCAGGACTTAGCACGGGAGCCCTTATAGCAATCCTTGCCTGTGTCCTGACATTATTAGGTAGGTACCAGAGGTATTACCCATTTTTCCTGTCCTAGATAGAGCAAGGACAAGAGCACAAATATTGGTACTTGGCTGTGTTCCATACTATTTACTTTTAGTTTTACTTAGGGAATTAACATGAATATTACACTAAGTGGTGTTTTATATCACTGAGAAACACAAAGTTAATTGTTTGGGCACATCAAATTTAGATAAATTATATCAAAGTTAAGCAGCCTCCAGTGGCACATTTAAAGTAAAGCTCATGAGGATTATATCAATTTCATCTTATAAAACAGTTGAAGATAAATGGTTCCCATTTTAAAATGGCTTTTTAAAAGGGTGTTTTAAAAATTCTGACAGCTGTTTATTTTCAGATTACTCTATATGCCTTATCTGCCCACTGAGAGCCCACCATTTCATTTTTCCTTTAAAAGTTCCCTACAAATATTCTCTGATCAGTAAAGTTTATTCAATGCTAACAGTTGCAACTGCTGTAAATTAATGAGAAGAGCCACAGTATCTTTTACATGGTGTTCTTTTATTGTAGGATTAAATTAATAGCATAAATGGAATGGTCATGGAATGGAAGACAAAGCAGGAGACATATTTAGCAAATTATGAACTTGATCCAGAAGTTCACTCAATACATTAATAACTGTTTAAGTCACTTATATAATATAACAGACTCAGTTAATCAGCAAGTTGGGGAATGGAGTATCCCAACAAATTATCCAATTAACTAAGGGCTAATTCATTCCTACATGTAAAGAATGACCCTAAGCAAAGGTAAAGAGATTGTGGGAGGATGCGGAATGCACTTAGATCTGCTGTTCTGCCTGTGAGCATAATTATGTTGCTGTGTCTCTTAATTACTGACTTTTTAAAAACTCAGATCACAATGAAGCCATAAAAATGCAAAATTAAAGTAGTATCATATGGCTCTAGCAAAACAAACAAAAGGGAAAATAATTTCCTAAAATTTCACACAGATGGTATAAAGCTTCAGAAGTTCTAAAGTAAATGTAAGCATTTCACGTTTAAAGTTTTGTTTGAATTGAAATCAAATTGAGGTCATTCTAAAGTAAGAGTAGAACAGTAGCATGTAATCATATTTTTTTAAAAAAATGAAGTGATGAAAACCTAAATCACAGGTTCTGTGAATTAAAAGAATAAAAATTAGAAGTTGAATCTTTTTTTTAATGTTTTTTTCCCCCTTTGAATCAAAACTTCAGAAGTCCTTTTTAAGAAACAACAAATACCAGGTAAATAGATTAAGGATATCTCACCATCAACTCAATCTACATTTCCCAGGTAACAAAGATTTTATAGTATTTTCCATGGATTAGGTCAGCCTGTGATTTGGAGATTATAAAATTTAATCACAGTCACAATGTAATAATCAGTGGCAGAGAAAGTCACTCCACTCAGGATTCAACTTCTAATCTTTGTTCTCTTAATTCCACTGTAAAATATCTGGCAGTAGGATTTTAGTCAATTCTAACCAATGCTATAATTTTACCAAATAAGTTATTAAAAATAAAAAATAATCACTTCTATGTTGATCAAAAACAAGATGACAAGAAACTTTAAATGATGAAAATATTTATACACATATCCATAGTTCTTTACAATTAAAAGTGTTTTCACATTTATTTAAATATATCTCAAATTATGGAGAACCCTCCAGTAAATTTAAAAATCCCATATACTTCATCTACTTTTAGTTTCTAAATGTTTCCAAATAGTTGACTTAATCAGAACCTGGTAGCGTCTGACATGTAAATTCAAATTCAGTCACTTAATTGTGCTATCCTCCTTTATCTTTGCTGTCTTATCAAAGATAACTCACTAAAAGTCTCAGTCATTACCATTTCCAAGACTTTTGCACAATGAATCTGTGTCCCTCTATGCATCTCACTTGAGTTCTTTAGAAACAAATATTAGAAGATCTTTCCTTCCCCCAACATCTTCATTTTAGTCCCATAATTACACTTTTTGTATTTTGCTACATCTGTGGAAAAACTTGTTTCAATACACTTATTTATAAGTTCAGAATTTTTTAAATGATAAAATTAGATCAGTACCAGCTGATCTACACTCACTGCATTTATAAATGAGTTAGAGACTCCACCCGTGAAAATAGGCAGTTGGGATGGGACAGCTGCTCTGGCTGAGCACTTGGCTTCCCAAGTCTATATGGATTTATCCTTGCTACACCTAAGAATTTGATGTGAATATTTTTCCTAGTTTCAGGAATTAAAGCCCAAACCTCCACAGATGATGGAGCATACTCAATGAAAGCTTAATTGTAAGGAAAAGAGAATTGATAGATCTATAGTTACCTATACAGTATCTAGTAGATATGAAGGTATGAACTTGAAAAAGAATGTTACTTTTTGGTTGAAAAATACTAGTACTGTGAAACTTGGTTCTTTGTCAGCGATCCTACAAAAGCTAGTTACAACACACCAAAAAACCAGGAGTTAAAACTCTAGTCTGTTTCCCGTGCTTCAAATTATCAGACACTTTAAACCGAATGTCTCCTCAAATTCAATATGTCCAAAACAGAATGCATTATTTTTTTCCCCAAAAAAAAACCTATCCCTCTTCCAAATTCCCCTAGATCAGTTGAAGGTACTAGACATTTCAGGGTTTGTAATTACAGTCATCCTTGACTCTCAGACTTCACATGAAATCATATGCCAGGTCTGTTCTATTGCCACTGTCCATTTGCCATGTGTTCCCTTCTGTCCATTGACATAGTCACCACCTTAATTCAGGCCTTCATCTTTCACCTGAACTACTGCAGTAAGCTTCTGAATTGATCTCCCTACCTCATCTCCCCCCCACTCTAATCTGCTCACAGTTGCCAAATTGATGTGTCTAAGCATAGTTTTAACCATGCCACTCTCCTGCTCAATAATTCCAGTGGCCCATTATTATCTGTAGCACCATGTACAAACTCTCCTTTTTGGCATTTACTGCTATTCAAAACCTGGCTCCAAAGTATCTCTCTAGGCTTATTATATTAATTTACTTTCTTCATGTACTCTGGGGCAGCCAGCCTTCTTGTTCCTCAGACAAGACATTTAATCTCACATTTCCCACAACTGTGCTGAATTTTTATATATTGTATAGCTATTTATATATTTGTTTCTTATCTTCACCAATGAGATATAAACTTTTAAAATTTTTTTTCTTTTCTTCCCTTCCTTTCTTCTCTATTTCTTATTCCTGACATCTAGCACAGTGCCTGGCACATAGTAGTCTTAATAAATGTTTTTTGGCTGATTGGCCCCTCACTATGGCTAGGGGGCCATGATATTGTCTTTTATTCCAGTCAGTCTTTGTGTTATGATAGACGGGCAGCTAAATGGCATAGTGGATTGCCCAAAGTCAATTAGACCTGAGTTCAAATCCAGTCTCAGACACTGTGTGACCCTGGGCAAGTCACCCTGTCTGTCTGTCTGTCTGGGTAGAACAGCATTGCCTTACAGGGTGGTGGTTGTGAGAAACAAATAAAATAATACTTGTAAAGTGCTTATTAGCACCATGCATAGCATAGAAGACTTAATAAATATTTATTCCCTTTCCTCCTCTTCACACATCATCACTGACAGTACCCTAGGGTCACCTTACTTTTATCATACATCTTTCTGTTGCCCTTTGGGTTATCTGTAATTCTGATGGGTGTGAAAAGAAATAAACAGGCAGATGGGCAACACAGTGGATAAAGTGCTGGGTTTGGAGTCAGAATAATCTGAGTTCAAATATGGTCCAGGGTTTTTATGACGGTGAAATGAGATATGTGTGACACATTTAGCATAGTATCTAGAACACAGTAAGCACTATACAAAGTTATTATCATTATTATTATTTATGACAAATTCATAATGTGTCCTGAAAACATCAAATCAGTTTTTTTCTGTACTGAAATAACTCTTTACCTGAGTATCCTTAAGTCACAGTTTTTATATTTCTAAGATCCTTCTTCTGCCTGTCTTCAACTATTTGATTTCTAATATATTTTGCATACTACTTAAATCCATCATATGCTTTTTGACTTATCTGTACCTGATTTCTTCATAAGCTAATGGAACATTTAAAAATGCAGTGTATTGTAGTGAAAGAAGCAATTAATCTGGATTCTGGCATCCGGGCTTCAGATCTTGGCTCTATTTAATATCTGGGTGACTGCTAGGCAGGTTATTTTAATTTGACTTAGTTTACTTAAAATTAGGGGATTCGATTAGGTAAACTTAAAGACCTTTTGAGGTGTAAATCTATTTTCCTCTGATGAACGTTTCATTCCTTCATCTGTTCATTGAACAAAAATATTTTGAACAGTACATATTATTCCTGCCCTCAAGTAGTTTACAATCTTAAGGGAAGCATTTATCCAGATAATAGAAAATATGTGCATAAGAAAAGAACTACTAAATAAATTAAGCTCACTTGAATGAGGAATCACTATTTGTCCTCCATACCCTCTGCCTTCCTACTCCTAAATATATGTTTGGAAGGTGACTATGGAAGTGTTGAGGAGCCTGTGGCCAGCTATTTCTAATCAGTGTCTTCCAAGCAGTGATTGAAATGACATGAAAGACAATGCCAGAGAATTCAACGATACTAATAATCTATAATGACTAGCAGGTTTGTTTTAGGACAGTGCTTAGCACAGTTCCTGGCACATAGTATGCACTTTATTATAAGTTTATTGAACAAATAAATGGATAACCAAGAATAAATCTGCAACATCAGTGGAGTACATTTCATAAAAAGCAAATAGTTATAAAATAAAGATCAGAGTTGTTTCAGCAAAGCTCCTTAATGCATTGTAATACAATGGGAATTTTTTTTTTATTGGTTATTTTATCTTTCTGGGTTGTCCTCTCCTGGTATCCAAACTTCAGGTGGTTTGTCTTAACCTGTGTGTATCCTGAAAAGAGGAGATCACAAGGTCACAAGACTCTTTGGAGCTGAAAGGCACCTTTGATTATTAAATCCAACTCTCA